GGAGAAAAGTGAGCTGCAAAGGGGAGATCTGTTGAAAAGGGCTCCAGAGAGTTGGCGCTTTTCCAGGCTGCTGGGATTATTGGGCTCCTGCTAAAAACTCTAGGACAGTGATTATTTAATCACAGCAGCCTGAGGTACTGCAAGATCCTTTTAAGCATGCCTTGGCACCTGGTCTGCGTGCAAGGAGGTAAGCGCCTGCCCAGTGCCTGGCGCCCACCCCAGTATCCTGCAAACCAGCAGCACCCATAGCTGCTCCTCTGCGGGCTCCTGCGGTGCCCTTGCACTCTGAGCAGCGTGCTCTGCCCCAGGCAGCTGGGTGACATGGATTCACACTTTTCAGCTTGGCTCATTCTGCCCACTTTTCCCACCATGCCCCCAGGGCTCACCAGAGGGGCCATCGATGCCAGCGTGCAAATCCTCAGAGGAGCAGCTGTGGTGATGGGCATATAGACTGGGGGCAGACAGCAGAAAGAGCCAACTCTAGCTAGAATGCAAAGAGGCACTTTCAGGACAAGTTTCCTGATATTTAAACTTTGCAGCCTACAGGATAAGGTGTGACTAGTACTAAGCAGAAGTTAGTGTGAGCTTGAGGCACCATCAGCAGCTACCTGAATGGCAGTTGGGTTGTTGGACGTCTTGAGCTGTGGCCGCAGCTCTACCAACTGACTTCAACCATCCTTGCTTTCATCCCTGTGAAATGGGGACAATAGCCCACTCCTCCCCACGTGTGCTGTGAAGCAAAGTCCGGCGTGATTTGTGCAGTGCTCTGACCCTGCAAAGTGCTGTGTATTATCCCACCAGCTTCCATGGACGTGTTGGACAAAATCTGCACCAAAATCTAACAGTGAGGGTGGTTTTTATTACAGTCCTAGCCCAAGGCCCACTGTGCTCAGGGATTACACAAACTATGGGGGTCGGAGGGAGAATGAGGGTGCCAGACACTTCCTCTTTGTAGTCTCTTTTGTAAGTTTTGTTAGTTTACAGTTATCTGGACTAGACTGCATTTGCTGTTCATTTAGCTTGTGATTCTCAAATTGCGTGTTGCAGAGTGCAAGGAGGTTAAGCTGTATAATAAATGCACTGAAATGGGGTCCTGCTAAATTCAGAAAAGTTTCAGAAAAGGTTGAGAACAACTGTCCTAGAAGCTGTTGGCTCTTTCCTTAACACAGGGTTTGGCAGATGCTTAAGAAGTACCGAGAGGCAGGAGCGCTCCAGCATGAAGACATGGGGATTTTTGGCAGGGGTCTCGAAACGGGGTGTGACGTCCTTCCCAGAAGAGTGTGAACTTCTACTGGTTTAAGAGATTTCCTTTTTTGTAGCTTTGAGGAGTGTTTTTGTCAGAGCCTGAAGGGTAGGGGGGGAGGTGAACACATCGTCAGAGGGATCAGAGCTGATCAGAGAACAACACCCTTTAAGATCTAAAGAGCCTCTCAATTTGGGTAATGCTGAGGCGGGAGAGGAATTAGACATATCTGGTTGAAAGATGAAGAAGGTAAGCAGCGGTAGTTACTGAATCTCCGTGGTGCTGGGACTTCCCCACAATTCGCCCATCTTCATGGGAGGCAGCCTGGACATTTATCTCTCTCCTGAGCTGGCAACTGCACTGGAGAGCAGTGCTTTGAGAGCAGACTGTGTCCAGAAATTCAGTTATAATTTCATCCCCCCCCCC